CTCAACTGTCGCACTAAATATGTCATGACCCCATTCAATAATGGAGTAACTTACGGTACTAATGCTTTACCGGCAAGGCCTTCATCAGACTTGTGCGAATACGTACGCTACTAACGGGATATGAGTAGTCGGGTGACAAAGCGAAAGCATATAGTCTGTGGCGGTCACCAATAACCTTGGAAAAAATTAGTGTTGTATTATTCCATCGTACTACAGCCCGAATACAATCGTACGGCACTTCTGAGTCGATCGAATTCGAACGAGTGAATCAGTTAATCGTTCTGCTCACTATACGATGGTTGGTGGCCGTTATGTATGGGTATCCATAGTTATCGTTTCAGAGAAGTTCGGTAGTTCAGAGGAAGCAAAAGATTCACCTGATGATAGAAGTCTTTCAATTAGAACTCCTAACCAAACAAAGCAAAAAGATTAAGTCTCGTGCAAACAAACAAGTTTTGCAAGTTTGATTGAGGTAACGAGTCAGGTGACTTGATTCCGTCACTTTTCACATTGGGAACTCAGGATAAATTACAAAGAAAAAAACATCTCAGCTGCCGATGGTCTCTAAGGGGATGTTTTATGCTGATGTATACTGCTTCATCCACTTCAGAAGTCCTTCAAAGACTCACAGGAATGAACGCCCCTCCGGAGTAAATCTAGAATGGTGCTATTCAAGATAACACATGTACATGCTAACCAAATAATCCCCAGGGCTGTCTGAACCGGCATTAGGATGCTAATCTGTTCAGCGTGTATGAAACAACTGAGTGTGCTTCTGGAGACGCGGTTCCGTCGCCACTAAAGGAGATAAACCCCGCCAAATATTGGCCCCGCCACCCGAAAAAGACTAGAAAAAAGAGGATATGAAATTCGTACTTTTAGTTTTTAGTGATGAGGGTTAAATTGGGACATATCATTAGTAATTTGCATGTAAAGGTCCGTTTTTTGGTACTTTTGCCTCCAAACGAACTCACACGGGTAGCTGTACACTAAGGATCGGTGTGTGCCGTATTGGCATTTATTCTGCATCTTGTAGACGTGTAGACCTGGGCCGTCGATAACTGTTGGAGTCTGCAACAGCCGGCAGGCGCAAACTTCATTCAGAGAGTTATTCTAGTCAACAGCGGTCCTGTGGCTAATAGATAATTCTTCTAGGCAGAATTTGATTGAATTTTTGGACCAGCAATAAATGAATAGAATTACTGTCCCAAACTCCATCCTGGACCGCTTCAGCCAAGTTCCCTTTCGAAGACCGATTTCTTGCCGACACTGTCTGGCATTACACCTCCACTTGTCAGAAACTGTTGAAAGTGTCGTGTGGTGACCATTGTTGCATACACATTGCTGATGGATCACTCCGTGGCTTTGCAAATAACGTATTGCCGTCTCCTTGTCATGAACTAGAGTTGAAAGCGTCAGAAAGTTCATTTAAGGTTTTACGTCCTACCAGAGAAAATGTTTGCACAAAATGAGCCTAGATGTGGATAAGGAATTGTTTCCCTCAAAAATACGTCAAGGTTGTGTGCGTGCATAAAATTGGAGCTGGCAAAATGTGGCGGGGCTTAACTTTTCGCGCATTCACTTTTTGCATTGGTGGCGCGGCTTAGCTGGCAAAGATCCCCTGTCTCCATTATTTGCTGCCTGTGTTTGCTTGTGGATGTTGTCAGCTTGTGGTGTAGCAGAAACTCATCACTAGTATGCATCCCAGGTAATTCGAGAAAAATTTGAACAGCAGAAGTCCTACGTGGTACAGTGAACTCCATTCATTCATAATAATTCGATTCACGTGATCTGCGCTGATTGGTTCTTACAGTGATAACCTTGACATGACGATTCAACTGGCTTTTTGTATTTCACTTGTGAGCATAATTTTCATTTAGTTCTTATTTAATCGATATCCTCTTTAACTTTTACCCGAAAAGCTGTGGGTTGGATCTGCTGATGCTAGCGCCAAGTCCTCTCCCCATCCAATGTTATCCCTTTCTTCATCGTAAGGCTTTCAAATAGATCAATTATTTTACGGCAGCGAAGCATCGGTGTTGAAAAATGATGTCATGTTGTCGATGATGATGATGATGATGATGATGATGATGATGATGATGATCTATTTGTAGGTGAATCCCCATTGATGGTTCTTTATAGGATGAAGGTTTTCACGCACCTCCAACTTCTCACCGATTTCCTACAAACGCAATTGAGACAATGCTGTAGTCAAGGTGAAAGAGGCAGGAAATTTTCTGACCAGGACTGATCACTATCCAGACCAGTTCATCGAAACTCCCAGCACCACAGACTGACTGATCGTCTGTAAACCTGCGAGAGGCCAGTGTACCTGTTCTTACCATGCTGAAGACTGACTGATCGTCTGTAAACCTGCGAGGGGCCAGTGTACCTGTTCTTACCTATTAGATTATTAGTACCAGGTAGGAGTCAAATTTGTCCCTAAAATGCGTTTATAACGCTGCACAAATAGGTCTCGATTAAACCGTCAAGTAGAATGCCCTACGACAGCGCGACTGCAGTTTACCGCCCATGTCATCTACCGTGTACTTTCACGGGCGCATACATAGGAGGTACAGATGAACATCTGTCGGAGCGCGCGGTTGAAGTTGCTTCATGATACCTTTTCAATATGGTAGAAGAGTTGACTCCGAACAATCGTGATAACGTCTTCAGTCAACAAGATGATCCGAGACGCTCTTTTCGTGTGTTATTTTGCCCAGGAAGCCTAAACTGTTTCGATCACGTGATTTTGTCTGACTGCTCATCATTTGCTTGTTTTACCAGAATTATAAACAATAATCGAGGACCGACGCAGTTCGTGTGTATTTATGACGCTTGACCTTCCAACGATGTTGAGAAAAACAAGACGAAGAGTGCTATTCGATTTGTTCTAAATTAAAGCTACAATCATGAGAGAGAGATTATCCATCTGACCTTCCGTCTACTTGGTTTGAACGTAGTTCTCCAATTTCTCGACAACTGCAAGAGGACACAAACAGTGAAAGCTTCAGAAAATCAGTCACCTACCAGTCATTATTGCTTCTCTCATGGCTTTTCGAGCTGCTCGGAACTTCTGGCCGACTTCACTCTCCTTGGACCATTGGCAAATTTTCTCGCGCAGTGGCACACGAATCTTTTGCATTCGGGTGGCGACGGAATGGAGGAATTCCTGAATTTACTGAGCTCAGAATTTGCGTGTAACACTTACCATCGGAGAAGCATCCTCATCGACTTGCATGTGCCTGCTTTTTCCAAGTTGATGAGCTCTCTTGAGATCGACTCTGAAAACGAAAGAACTCGTGCTAGATTTGGTGTAAAACTGATCGATATTTGTACAGATTCTAAGCCAGGTGTATCTGATTTACTATACTCACTTTTGACGTGTAACCCTGTCACCTGCTAGATGTTCGTCACTAGGCAATTTTGATGAATTAGCCAACCGGTCAAACTGGTCACGTGGTCCTTATCACAACTGCAGACATTTATTACGTCCTCGGCTAGACATAGTGCATATGATCACTCTTTGAATGTCTACAATATGAAAAGAAGGATTCAGACTACAGTTTCTGTAGATACTATGTCAATTCAGCTCTTGACTACGTGCTATTGTGTTTGTTGAACACCTCTATTATCGTGCCTCAGGCTTCAAACCAATATCTTCCAGTCAACTGCAAAACAGCGTTTTTCCACTTACTCAGTCATGTGACCCAACGTGACAGTCATGAGCGCGAGAAGAGCGATGACCAGTGGTAGACGCATTGTGGCGACGTGGTTTCAGTTCGAATCCGGAATTGAAAACGTGCGGATTTTTATATCATGGTGAGTGTGCTGAGCTTGTTCAACTTTTAACATGAAAATTGAACATTACACACCTGACCCGCGCAATTCATAAGTTAACACCTGTAGATCATGTTACTAGGGTCATTGCCGGTACTGAACATGTACGAGGCTCACCGAGGTTCACATTTGTAACAATTCATTCGCGATGATGATGTTGTGCGCTAACGCATCACCACCTGCTTGATTCAATATCAGTCTCAAAATCTGTATTTTAATGATTGATTAACGTTTTGATTTGAGCCGTTCCAGATCTGCAGTTTGGAAGGATATTTCTAAATATTCCGGTTTACCGGAGTTTTCCAGCTATCTCCGAATCTCTTGTTCTCTCTCTGACGCGCCGACTACCAGCAAACAGCCATGGACGATTACTGGATTTGATTTTGTAGAGAATTCCCCACACACTCGAACCCACTTTTTTAACCGCCTTAGCAACCCCATGGAAACGGCTCGCTGAATCCGAAACAAACTTACAAAGATGGTGCTTCTGATCACTCGGATTACACGTGATAAAACAATATCGTTCGAGTAGGTCACGACAAACTTTTTGTCCAAATGACTAGATGGACTTGAGAAAACACCAAGGAGTACGGACGGTTTCACTCAGAATTAAACACGTAATGACCTTGACACCTATTCTAGACCTGGCTTTCTAGGGTCACGCCGAACTAGCATCGATCGACTCTGCTTTGTATTAACTATCACAACGCTGGTGAAGGAAGTATACCAGCAATTGTTTTGACGTAACACACTACTCATAGGGTTGCTGAAAACTTTTCGACGGCCCACGACATGTTTCTCACTTCGTGCTGCGATACGAGAATATTGTACCAACCGAAACACGAGGCGGCCTTGCGCAGCACTTCAAGTTGAGGTAGAACATCGCAAACCGCCGATTCAGCTGAATTTGGTTGAGCCCCCCCCTCAAAACCAAATTCGTGTGTAAACGAGAGTACACACCAACAGTCTCATTCCGGTCAACGTGGCCCGCATAACTCCTGAACGGTACAAGACGTGTGAACGTACCGAACCATTAATGAACTCACGCGATAAGCGCAAACTGACAATCACAATACTTTCATCAAACGTCTACAACCGCTTCAC